ATATGCAATTTCTCTGCAATGATCTAGAGACATTTCTTTAATCCTACTGTTAACTAGATGATCTTTCAGAATAGAACTCAAATGAGTTTTCCAGATCATCATTTCCAGGTTTCCCTCCAGTTCTAGATTCAGTCCACCTAACATCACAGCATAGCCATCAGCGCATTGATTAGGAACAACAGCAACCAACCTGAAGAGCGTCTTTCACCCAAATGAAGAGAACTAAAGTAGATGTGCTTTAATAGACCATAAATTTACCATAAATTGAGAATTTTTCTGATGAGTGACAGCAGTAAACTTATAGCCCCTCACCATGTATCTTAGACTTTTTTACCATGTCCTTTACCTCGTGTCTATTAATGCTGAATGCTACCACCTATTTTGCTGCTGGGCTACATGGCAGTGACAGATCCTCTCTCAGTGTTAACTCTTCACTCTCTTGAAACAGTTAAAAAGTATGATCAGTAAATGGGGTTTTTTGACCAGTCTTTAGATTGCACAGCTCCTTTGGTAATCTCTCTCCTTTTGAACAGCAATAATTTATTCCTGTTCTTTCCTGCCTCACTAACCAGCTATTAATCCACAAGAAAACCTCTTGTCACCCACAGTACCTTAATTTCTTTGGTTAGAAGCATCATCTGAAACTCTAAGTGCAGTGCTTCCTATTCTCTCAAAAAAAAAGGGCCAAGACAAGTCTGCAGTAAGTCATCCATCCTTCAGACTACTTTTAACATGAAAGAACAAGCTGCCTTGGCTAACTTCCACAGAATATTTTCACCAAACTCCAAGTTCTGCACATACCTCAACTGACCCAGACACTTAAAAGATCCTTACAGGATTTTTAAAAGAATCCTACAACCTGGATTAAAACCTGGACTCCAGTGAGGTCAATATTCCCACAATCCTCTGTTTCTCCCAAAATACTCCTTTTTCTGTTTTCTTCCTTCCTAACAACTGAACAAAAGTGGAACTCTGTCATGAAAAACAAGTGCCTATAATTAATGTAAATTACTTCATCACCTTAAAAGAATCCTAAAACTCCAGTTGTTGAGCTTTTTCATCATCATGATCACCACTCCTTGAGGTAGTCTAGTGATTTTCAGACTGCACTCCACAGAGTACTTCAGGCTTTGAATCACTAAGCAGTCTGGAGAAGGTGAAAATCACCATTCTGTCTATTCTTTCTCCTCTGTCTCCCTACCAGCCTGCACAGATGGCTTACCTCCTAGTCAAATGCCCTCCTGCACTACCTGATGATTGCACACATCCAGCCCCCTGACACTCACAGAGCTACCACAGAAAGCTGGAGTACTCTCTTCCTCTGTCCCTCCCCCAGTGTCCCAAGGCAAGTGCTTCATCCTCTATGTTCATGTCACACTGGCACTCCCTAGTGTAGGGATACTCACCACAACACCCAGCAAAGTAAGCATTTTGAAGAAATCAAGCTAAGAGCCTCAACACACATTTAGTTAAAAAAAAAAAAAAAAAAAGAAAAAAAATTACAAAACCACGTGAATATTCACATTTTCTTAAGGATTTAGAAAATTTACTTGCTAAGACCACTGAACAAAAGCTACCATTTTCTTTCTCATTGTACACTTCTGCTTTGTTCATACATACACCTAAATTTTTGCTAACTCATCTGAAGTTTAAGCGTGTTATTGTTAAAAAGAATTTCACATAAGTAAAACTCACAGTGAAGTCTTTATGAAATAATGAAAAGGAGTGCTTTGCATAAGGCCATACAAAGTACAATATATATTTCTTAAATGTTTTCAATCTAAGAGGTGATCATTGTGTGCAGTTCATGGGGCTTCTTTGCTTAATTTACTCCCTTTTTAATAATAAAACCATCTACAATTAATCATTGTGATGATTTTGCTTTTTTAATTTTTTTTTCACCAAGCATAGCAAGGAACACTAACGTCAAAGGACTCAGAGTTACATCCTTAATGGGCATTTGAGAAGGAAGGGAGGAAGGAGAAAGAGGGAAGGAAGGAAAGATCTTAACATATAGTTCTCCTGAACTACATATTTTAAAAATTTTGTTTAAAAAAAAAAAAATCTTGGTGTTCCATAACAGAAGAAAATGTCCCAAACTACCTTAGATAAGACTTTGTTATTATTTCCAGCAAAATAAATAGTTGTACACAGAGCTATATTACTTAAAGAACTCATTTTAAAATTTGGTTCCTTGAACATCCGTTATGGACTATTGGACTATTTCAATGAAAGAAAAACAAATCAATTGAGCTCCTGGTATAAGCACAAAGCTGAACATAGCTCCAGTATATCAAGGATTGGTAGGGAAACCTGTAACGTGCTAATTGCTTCCAAAGTAAAAGGAGGAGTCATTATGGTTGCCAATCAAGAATCTGCTGGGCAAATTTCAATTAAATATGGGTAAGTAAGGCTGTAGGTGAGGAGTGATCTGTTAGACATTACTGGAAGGCAAAGCACACGCAATGTCGTTTCACAATTAGCAAGAACAGGCACAGAAGAGTCTAAGAGCTGAACCACTGTATAAACTCCACATGATTCACTTTAATTGCATTGCTGGCAAGAGTTTCAGTGGGAAACAGGCATCTATTTCTTTAACATCTATCTCACTAACTGCTAAATGGAAATGTAATTCAAAAGCTTCAACTGCGGCAACTAACACACCTAGCAAATCTGGAATTTTTTCAGTCTCCCTTCTTTCTAGAACATTAGCCTCTGCCTAGTTATGATAAATATCCCACTCATTACTTCCTGGGGTCATTTACCAAAAGTAAAAGACTAAAGATAAATACTTAGAACCGGCTAACTAACAACAAAACCCTCCTACCTCCTTATGATGGCAGTTTAACCAGATGGAAATAATGCCATTAAAAATGTGTTAGATAAATCTGCGTATTTTTCTATTCATGCACTTTCTAAAACCAGATCACCACATTTCCATAATATCCATTACACAGAGTTACTTACAATTGTCTCCAGTGAGTACTTCTCGGGCCACAGGTCATTAAAGAATAAACTATTTATCACAAATATCCCAGATGTGCTATTTGGGTTTTGTGATTAATTATATATAATTACATTATCCCTTCTGTTTTGTGAATGCAGTAACTAAACAACTTTACACGCACCATAAATTTTGAAATCTAAAATGCAACTGGCATTTCCTATTATCATATTCCATTATCATGATTCAGTCTTGAGACTTAATATTAATTTTCTTTTCAATATTCATGCCTGTGAAAGATTGCTTCACAAAATCCTGAGTGCAAAAGGGTCTTAAGTTCCTAAGTAAGCTGTAATACAAATTTACTTCAATGTTAATTCTTTTCAACAATAAAACATAACCGAAATTCTGTTTCTGCAGTAACTTCCAGTCACCTTAAAAGCCTTGTTCTATTAGAAATTAAATGACTGCATTTCTTGCATCTCTTGCCTACCATAGTGTAGCAAACAGGACATGAGTAAGCAAATAGGCAGGTAAGAGAGCATGAACAGTGTTAAATATCATAAAATGTACAGTAGCAGTAACATTAACATTTCTCCAAAAAAGTATCTCCTCTAAGGGGTTGGTTAGGAATTTTGACAACAAAATCCGCTTCAGATCTGTCTGGTTTACAGGGGGCTCTGCTGAAGAAGTGAAAATCCTTGGCCTTCTCTTAAAATAGCTTTTATATGTGACAAGGAGTGAGCCACTTGCGAGGAGAACCAGGAAAGGATGCCCTCCACCAGCAGCCAGTACCATGATCACATGCTGAGGAAGAAACGCAGCTCAAGGGAGGTCAACAGCTACACCCACTCCTCGAATGGGCTGCCTCACACACCAGATGGAGCATCAGCCATCAGCAAACTACCAATAAAGCTGCCGGATGGTCGAGGACCTGACAGGAAAAACTCCCTGTAAAGCTGACAGGGGGTCTGGGAGCTGCCAGGGGCTCAGCAACTCCCAGAGTCAGGCTCTTCCCAGCTGCCAAAATATCACCCTTCCCAAAACTGCAGGGCATTACTACGGGAACACACACCATGGCTTTCAAAACTGCTCCAACATTTCCAGGTGGCTGATGCATAAAAGGAAACTACCAATTTTTTGGCTTACAGGGGCTGCCACAAGGAAATGCCACCAAATTCCAGATGAAATACCAAAACAGTTTGCTCCCAGATGCTCTCTGCCAGCACTGTAGGCTTTGGGTCTGAGGCTGCTGCTGGGCTGAGCCCACGAGGTGCCCACCTGGCCACCCCCAGGCTTCTGCTGTTGTTTTACCACCTTGACTACAGGTACATTTTTCTTCCTCTGGGGTAAACTAGTTTTTGTTTTTATTATCATCTTGACTCAGCGACTGAGTCCATTCCAAGAAACCTTTCCAGAGTAATTTGTGTAAGAAGCCTACTGAATGAAATCAATAGACCAGCTCTCAGGAGGGAATCATGCTGTAAGGAAAACTGTCAAAAATCCATGATGTGTACGTGCTATCATTATCAGCCTTCCATCCAGTCACTACCTGTTTTGCTATTTAAACCAACAAATTTACAGTGCTGTAAGTGCACTCAGATTTTTTTTCCTAATCCACTGAATTAACAAACCTGAAGTAGTTCAGACTGCGTATCATTGCTCAGCATTACTGTTTACTTGAGTTCCAACTTCTAGGGCTTTATAAACGCCAAATGTAAACCTAGCCCCCAACATTTTACACAACGATATTATCCAACCGGCTATCTTATGTCTCAGAAGGAAAGAAGGAACACTTCATGTCTTTGAACAAACTATCCACTAAGGCACTGCACAGAATTCGTCAGAGAAAAAAAACCAGTTGTTTACTGAGTGCTAGAGAACAGAGGATAATACCGGAAAGAAATTAAGCACAGAAAAGCGCTCCGTGAAAGTGACGCTTCCGAATATCACAGCCGCACTGCCAGGCCCGGGACGACAGAACCGCTGCAGAGGGAAGGGCGAGGCGAACTCCAGCAAACCCACCCCCGGCGCGGCGGCGGCCCCGCCCGGCAGGGCGGGACACCGGGACACGGGGCCCGCCCGCCCGTCGCGCCGGGGGGAAGAGCCGGGACCGCTTCCGGAGCGTGACCTTCGCGGGTGGGTGAGTGGGTGAGTGGGTGAGTGAGTGCGGGGCGGCCGCGGGTCTTTCCCTCGGGCGGCGCCACCGCTTCCCCCGCTGCCTCGGGGCCGCGGGCGGGGCGGCGGCGGGGCCCCGCCATGGGAGCGGCGAGGCGTGCTGGGACACCCGCCCTGTGCTGTGTCCAGGTGGGCGGCGAGGATGGCGGCGCCGACGAGGGAGGAGAGGACGGCGTGCTGGGGCGCCCGGGACGAGTTCTGGCAGTGCCTGGACAGCCACGGGGATGACGCCGCCAAGTGCGAGAAGCTGCGCCGGGCCTTCGAGTCGCGCTGCCCGCAGCAGTGGGTGAGCACCGCCTGAAGCTGCCTGAGGCTGGGCGAGCTGAGCGTGTCCTTGCCCGTCTGTAAGAGCAGCGACGCGTAGGCACAGCTGCCTTGTCAAGGATGGCAGCTCCGGCCTCGAGGAGTGCGGAGCGTGGGCAGCCTTACGCTTTCCCGTGGATAAGCCCCCCACCCTTGCCGGGCGTTAACTTGGTTTGCCTTGTTGGGAAGTGAAAGCTCCCGAATGGACCGCTGACTAGCCCGGGAACTGTGAGAAGCAGTATATAGTACAAAGGGAAAGGAAAATAAGATCTCAAACTTCCGATAAATACACATACTTGAAAGCACTTTTGGAAGTGCCCATAAATTATTGTTATTAAAGAAGAGAGGCTGGTCCGGAAGGGAGCTGATGTGCAGGGCCTGCAGTTGTGTGGCATCTTAAGACTGGCATCCGATACTTTCTCATACATAAAAATACCCTTTTTCATGCAGCGTGATGTCACAGTAAGTCACCTGCCTACATGTAACTCACTCACGTTGTGCTTTTTACTTAGCTCAAGTTATAACCATTTTTTAATAGACCTTGCCCTTTAGTAACAGTGGTGTCTGAGGGGCTGAACAGTTCCTGTTGCAGCTAGTAATTGAAGTCAGTTAAAAAATCCACTGTACCTTCACAGTTGCTGCACTGACTTGTACTTCAAACACTGCAGTTCTGCTGTACATCATTTCGAGTGATTGTGGTCTCATCAGCAGTGCTTTGCACCATGCACATCAGTGGCTCTAGGCAATGAGTTCAGAGGTTACGTGGTCCACACTGCCACAGAAAAGCTGCTGGACTTATCTTTGCATCACAAATAATCTTTGGTGATAGCAGTGAAAAGAGCAAAGCAAGAGGTTGATCACAAAGTAACAGGATGGTGAACTTCCAAAAGTGAAAAAGAGCCCCCACAAAACAAAAACCAAACACACCATTCTTTAGTTTTTTATTTCAACAGAAGAAGCAGCTCCTAACTAGTGTAGTAAAATCCTTAAGTTCACTGATAATTCCATAGTCTTTTGATACATAAAACCCCTTCCTCTGCTAGTTTCTTCTGATGAACATCTTTTCTCTTTTCAAACAGGTTAAACATTTTGACAAAAGAAGAGACTTCTTAAAATATAAAAAAAAGCTTGAAACAGAAGGGTATATTCCTCCAGAAGCTGCTGGAAAGTCTTAGGTACTCTGCTTTCATAACAAATCAAATAACTACAGAAAGAAGAAGCAAGAGAAAGCAACAGGAGCTGCCTGAGAGCAAGAACTGGTAACCTGATTGTCTCCCTGAAATGCAGACTGCTGTTCTTGTTGCCAGGTCTCACATGTCTGCTGAAAGATGGTTGTGTACAGCTTATGGTGCAGAGTTGTTCACAAATCTAAGGGTTTGAATGTATAATTATTAAAATTCTTTCACACAAATAAAGAATTGTTTAATACTGTAATGTATATATTCTAAAGAGAAAATAAAATTCTTTTTCAGTGAGCTGGGTTTTCCTTAAAAAAATAAGCCCATTCCAACTTTCACTTCTTGTCAAAAGGAGGTGGTGGTATAACAGTTTGTATTTGTCATTTACCAAATACTTCAAAGTATTTTAAAATACAATTTAAGTCAGATATCAGTTTATATTAGTGGCCATTAGAAGAGCTAATGCATCCTGTGCATATGATATGTAATCTACCGATTTTGAGTATGCTTACTTTTTGTAAGCAATAGGAATTTTTACATTACTTATAAGTTTTCAATCAGGATCTGTGCTAGAAGTATGTCAGTTTATTTATCATCATGATTCTCATATTATGGTCTTTTGTATAATTTAATTAACTGATGCAGCTCCATTTAAAGATACAGAGAGTTTACAGCAGGATTAATAAACTTGACTGTGGAAGGCATTTAAACAAGAGGCACCATTTAATGTAATTATGTAAGTGAAGTTACCTTCCAAAAATTATATAATCTAGTAGATTTAGATGCTGAAATCATTAAATACTTTGGCTAAAGGCACCACTTCCATTTAAAGCATAGTCACCACAACTGAAGTAACTGCAGTAAAAATCCTGTGGTTTTGCATGTGGGATTGTTCACAGTACTGTGCTGATGTTCTAACTGTAGAAATAACACACACACGCGCCCCATGCAATATAAATAGTATTTATTTCCAATGCAACAATTTAAGGAGGTAAAGTATTAAGGCATTTAAAAGTCACCCTGAACACTACAGAGAACAAAACATGCAAAAGTTAAGAATCCTCATTCACCCTGAGTTTGTATCTCATCTATTCTGAATTTCATGTCGTAGCACCATAGGAAGCCACCCAGCTGTACTATAAGGCACGAGACTCTTGGCAGTTATTTTTGTTGTTTTTGCTTGATCACTTGTTGCCTTGTGTACTCCCAGATCAGCAGAGCTCCGCTTACGTGAACATTGAGCGATCGAATAATACCCTGCTGAGGAATTTCCACACAGACATCCAGATGGTGAATCAGGTTTGCTGGGATTCCTTCATGTTCATTTCTAGTAAAGAAGAAACAGTAACTTGTATCTGAGAAAGGACAAGTGTTCCAAAATGCAGAAAACACAAATGTGATAGCAGCATCCAAATGCCCTTTGACAAATATGGTGCATCTGCCTACAAGTGTAACTGATGACAACAAAGGATTTTTTTAGAAACAGTAATACGTTACAAATACGAAGAAAACATGGGGAAGCCTGACTAAGCTTTGATGTAGGAAAACTGGTGGTGCACTCAGTTTTCAGTTCACTGGTCCAGCAATAGCTGAACACCTAACATAAAGACTCTCTGCTTTTATTTTTAAACTACACATACAGCAAAATGACCAGCTATAGATGAAATGACCAGGGCATGAAGCTGCTGGCACTGCAAGGAAGCTCAGCTGCTCACTTTACATTTGGCATGAAGGAATGTCAAAACTCATTTGAAGCCTTGAACTGGAAGTTTTACCTTTTCAGAACTGAGCACACCAGAAGATACCAGAGGTTACCAGTAATTAAAACTATGTTGTTAATTAAAAGAGAACAAAGTGACTATGAGAACCACATTTTGAAGACAAGCTACACATAAAAAAGCTGGAGAAAAGGTATTTCTGCTCACTTTGTCCTAAAAGGATTGGCAGGCCCTTCACCCTGGTCTCACTCAGTAGCCCTGCAATGCCAGTAGCTTTCTGACTTGTAGCTGCTTTACTGTGGATTTCTTTAAGTAGCCTCCCCTTTATATCACATCTGACGTTTGTCTGCATAGAGAAACAGTCTGCTTGTTGTCCCATCCCCTGCCTGTACTGCAAAAACTATCTGGTGCTCAATCCTTGAGTTTTAAAGCATCTCCCAGCTATGCACACTTGCCCTCTGCTCCAGCCCTCCTCACCAAGTTAAGCGGCGCAAACGGGCTTAACTCCTTGCTGAGCTCACCACAGCCCACACATACAGGGCCCCGTATGACTAAACTGAACAGACGATACCTCTGTCACACCTGGAAAAATCCATGCTGTTGCTACGTTCACCCGTAATAAAAAGGAGTTACAATGTATGAACAGGTTATTACGTATGAGGAGAAGGATAGTTCAGGAGTAGGTATCAATGCCTCCTACTCCTTAGCACATAAAGCCAAGCCCTACTCTTTCCATAATCACTTCCCATTCTAAAATCACCTTTACCACTGTCACTTGATTTTCACATGACCAAACTCTTGACTAGAGGAAGAGATGGACTGCAAGAGGTAGATTTACAAAAAAACACGTGTTCTTACCCCAGCAATAATAGTGACTTCTCTGGGAAGCAATATTCTGTAAGATCATAACTTTTAGCTGTCTGCTCCACACCAATAATAGTGTAGCCCTCTGTTTTCTTCTGCTGTAAATAATCAACAAGCTGACATGGTTTCACCTATCCATTAAAAGGAGAGAGAAATACAAAAATATTTAAATATTTAAATACTGCCTTCTGTAAACTTCTGAAGTTACTGTGAAAAATAATTTACTTGGACAGTTTTTAAGATTATTGACTTTCATCCCCGAAGACTCTGTCTGTATACACAGCTTAACATTTTATAAGCTCTTCAGCAATAACATAAAAGGTCAGTAATGCCACAAAAATGTACCCCACCAATACAATGAAGAAAAGCTTTTCTAGGCTTCTGACAGCTACAAACCTTGTATCTGAATGTAAAAGAATAACTCTTGCATAGGGACAAGGTGCACAATTGTTATTCAACCTGAAATTCCTTCCCAGCACAACAGAACAGCCAGTACTGAAACTGAGTTGCCTTATATGCCTGAACTGCAACTTGGGAAGTGAAAAACTTCTTAGTTATCTATATCCTACTCTCTAAATTGTTTATTTGTATGAAAATGCCAATTTCTTCATGCAACAGCAGCTCTACCATCAGTACACTTCTGTACAGAGATCAGGCACAACAACATATGTCCATCAGCACTCCGTTTTAGGCAACACACTATAGCTATCTTGTTCTGAAAATAAACACCATGGGGAAATCAAAAACTTTTACTGAGTGTTTCAGATGGCTTAGAGCTGACCTGGAAAAACTGATAACTAGATAACAGTTTTAAAAGTTGGCACAAGTTAAATTCAGGCAAACTCAGACAATCACTGTGAGGTTACCAGAAGCAATGGACAAAGCAAAACGAATGAAGTATTGTTCAACTTTTATAAATAAACATTAAATTCCAAGACACCACTGTAAAACAGAATAGGATGTAACAATGACAGCTTACATAATCAGTTTTCCACAGCAATAAGAAATTGAAAGTATTGAAAGTATTTTTTAAATTATTTTTTTTTATGAGGTTGACACACAGCTTATACCAAAACACTCAAGATTAAGTGTCAGAGATAACAATGGGTGCTTCCATTAAATAAAAAGTTCATTTTTGCAAGATAAAATGTAAGACTCTACATCTGACAAGCAAAGATGCTCAGTACACTTTTCAACGATTAAAATGTTTCCATTCACCTCAACCAGGGGGAGCCACTGCTCTGCAGAAACACTAAGATGCTGGAACTGCTTATCCTGTATATAATGAAGACTGCCGACAACTAATGCAGATGCCCCAAATATTTCACTTGTACGACATAAACCTACAAAAACAAGACATAAAGTAATTTTTGTGTAGAAAATAAACACCAAGCCAGAATGTTTTAGTAAGTGAAAATGACAAAGAATGCAAATGTGCAATATTACTTTAGTAATCTATTTTTTATCAGTTTCAGGTCTGTTCCAAGCCACGCCTTGTTCCATATAAAAAAGCAGCAAAAAAAAATGTTTTGTAACTTAGCAGAAAGATAAAAATTAGAAAAGCACTATGTCTGACAATGTGCTTTTACAATACTAATTACACAAAGGGGCTAGTGTCCAAGCCTCAGCAAGGATGGATGGTTAGACACATATACACACAAGCTTAAGTTTTAAATTCAGTATTTGCTAAATGAAAGGCTTGAGAGGATGACACATGACAGCATTACAATGCAGACAGCACCAGCTTGTGGGCTGACTTTTCATGAACAGCCTCACTGCAGCTATTTCAACTAACAACATCAAACACAATGACAGTAAAGTAGTTGCAGGATTTATTATATCACAGCTGATATGACATAGTGAAGGAGTTCTTAATCAGGAAAGGGGACTTTAATGACCAACAGTCATGAGAATCTAATAGGTCTACAAGATTTGTTTTACTTGTTAAGAGGAAAAATGTATTTCCTTTAACCACATACACAGTTCAAAAACTCAACTGTAACGAAGAATATAAATTCAGAAAGAAACTGAGCATGATTTACAGCAAAGTTCCATTTAATTAATGCATGCTATGTATAGATATTTCTTTTTTTGCCTTAAAATGTGACTATGTGAGACCCCTACTCTGAAGAAGGCAGTATTTCTTTTTTCAGGATAATGATCTATTACCATTTTTTTTCAGGATAATGATCTATTTTTCTGGGCAGTACTTACAAAATTTTCTAATTAACAACATAAAATGAAATTAACTTCTATTATCTAAGTGGGCTCTAAAGTGTAAAATAAAAGTTTAAAAATGTGAAATCAACCTTACCTCCTAAATTGGTAGGTTTATCAATAAGTGAAGCCACCACGATCAATCTGCTGTTTGATTTACCAAGTTTAGCAGCACGATCCTGAAATGCCATTTCCAAGTCTAAATTAGGAGTACTGTTTTTCCAGGGTATAATTTTTTTCTGAACATCAGTCCATTCTGTCTGGCTATCTGTTTCAGCTGAAAGTGAACCTATAAAATAAACAAGTTGTTTTATTTATATGGATATGCAAGAAGAATTGAAACTGGTGCTTTGGTAAAGAAGATAATCTAAATGGTAATACTGTAGAAAGTAGAGGACTCTCATAAACAGAGATCAGATTTGATTACAGATGTACACACTATTACAAATACTTAAATTTAATATAGCTTAGCTATATTTTACCCATGTCTTGCTGAGA